TCTAATAGCATTATAAAACACATTAGTTTTCATTTTTTTTTTCAGTTTATTTGTTCACAATTGATTTCTTATAGATTATCGTGCTCAGTGAATTCTGTATTAAGTCAGATAAATGCCATATAACATACTAAAAGAACACTAACTCTGAAACTGCTTGATCTCATGGATTTATGGACACATTTATAGAAAAGACTTCTAAACATACATAAATACAAATACATGTGTCTCTATATACATGCACACATGCATAGTGTATGTATTTATGTGTCTTCATCTTAATGCTGAAAATTAGAATGTATGTATACTCCTTTTAGAAATTTATAACATAATGTTTGAATATTAAAAAATGGACAATTATCTTCAAATTATATTTCAAATGGTAATACAAAGAAAAGCATGAAATTATAACTGAATTATATGAATTGTATACACTTATATGGAATGAATTATATATATATATATATATATATATATATATATATATATATATATATTTTTTTTTTTTTATTTTTATTTTTTTTTTTATAGGTTTTGGAATTTGACAAAACACAAGTTTTAATACAAATATTTTAATAATTTATGGAACATGTAATATTTTTTAATATCATGTTTAAATTCAGAAATTGCTTTGGATTATTTTTTTAAATTTTATATTATTATTATTTTCATGGATGACATCTTCTAATATCAGCTATAGTAAAAAATAAAATGATGATTATTTGTATTTACCAGCATGATTTACAAATCCCAGAGCTGGTTTCACTAACCATTATAAGAGGGTTATGATAAAAACAATAAAATGAAGGAAGTTATTACAGAGACATTGTACTTTATTTAAATTTTAAAATAAATAATTTATTTATAAAATTTTTTAGCAAAAAAAAGTCTTTTAATAATTACAATCTGTTTCAAATACAAAAAACATTTTTGTTTAAAAATGATAATTTACTATATTTAGAAACATATACGTGGTGCCAAATAAAAAATATGTTAAGAAGGGATATTAAATAAAATATTTTGGAAAGTTAATATTTAACATTTAATTATATTTATATATAATTATATTTAATTATAATTATTATTAGGTAATGGTGAATAACCCATTACCTAATAATAGCTTTTTAATTATAATTTTACATTGAAAAAAAAGAATAGCCTGATTTGATTCTTAATATATCAAATGCCTATTTTGACATGCATTTTCCTAAGTTTTTTAGTGGATCAAAATCCAGTCTCTGCTGATAATCATTATGATAATATGATAATATGATGGAATAGATACAAAATTATTCTGTTTGGCATATAAAATTTATATATATATATATATATATATATATATATATATATATATATATATATACATATAAAACTTAAGATATGAATTATAGTCGGATAATAGGTCATGAAATACACTTAAATAACTTAAAACAACTCCTGTTTATTGTTGTTTCAAAAATGTTTCGATCCCTGTTTTTTTTAAACATTAATAATGGGATCCTCTTAAGTTTTTTAATTGAGCATCGATACTCCAAGTCGGGAAGCATGCTGAAAGACCCAACACAGCCACAAGAACAGCAAGCTACATTTATCATACATCAATAGTAGCTTGATGTCCTTGTGGCGGTACTGTTGGGTCTGTCAGCATGCTGCCTGGCTTGGAGTATCGATGCTCAATTAAAAAATAAATTTTTGTCTGACTATAATTCATATTTTAAGTTATAATATATAAAGGTCGAATTATAAAAAAATATTGTAATGTTTTATATATATATATATATATATATATATATATATATATATATATATACATATTTATTTACAATTTTTCCTTAATCGACCTTTGAGTATTAAATTTAAACTTAACTATTTAATTGGGAATAAGGTCACCTAATTATTATTTAATAAACTATTGAATGTTCATTTCTTCTGTTTATTGACGTTTCGATCCCGGTATTTTCTTTTCATTAGTCAACCATGGGATCCTCTTCAAAGCTAGAATTTTAAAAAATAGAGCTTCGATCAGGCCAGGGACACACCGACAGTCTCAGCACCGTCCACTAGCACATATATTAAGCTACTGTTTGTATATGTAATGCATCTTTGCTTAATATATGTAGATCCCATGGTTGACTAATAAAAAGAAAATACCGGGATCGAAACGTCAACAAACAGAAGAAATGAACATTCAATAGTTTATTAAATAATAATTAAGTGACCTTATTCCCAATTAAATAGTTAAGTTTATATATATATATATATATATATATATATATATATATATATATATATAATGTATAATTATGTATGCTTCTACAGCTATGAAGAATTAGATATTCATCAAAATGTTCCAATATCTCATAACAAACCTGTATAAATTATTGACTAAATTTTTATGCAATTTCACTCTCTAAACCAAACAAATTCACATTTTTATCTCATAAAAATGAGAATACTAGCACATTTGCTATTATAATGAACCCTGTAATGATTTTTCCAATATATGTTCAATGATGTTTAAAAACCAATCCCTGTATAACAAGCCAGATTTAAATGATATAAATAAGATATTTATAATAAATATAATTTTTAGTTACAATAAACATAAAATAGCTAATAAAATATCAAATTAATTGATTTTAAAAATAAAATATTGAACTTTAAGTTAGTACTATGGTAATATTCAGTACCTATTATAGCTGTAAGTCAATCCAGATCTAAAATACTACTTTCATCATTAACTATCAAACTATTTAATCAATACAATGAAACATTTATAGCAAGGATGTATTACATATACAAATTACATCTTATACATTTAAGAGCAATTAATAATGATAAGAATATTAATTAAAATAAGATTTTTACTAATGTAACCAATATCATTGCCTTCCTATAATAAGATGATATAATAGACTGAAATCAACAAAAATATTGAGCAAGTCTAATAGTGTAATTTTTTCAAATAAATATGACTGCTTAAGCAAATATAAAATAAGAATATATGCATGTATACAGAAATTAATATAAGTTATATGTTTTAAGGTTACGTAATTGACTAAGAAACCGACTAATTTGTAAGTATATGCCACTTAAATAACTTCACCAAAAGAATTTATAAAATAACAAACATCATTTGATGTACATATTTGATGGAAAAATGTATATTGAAATTATTTACAGAATTTTTTTTAAGGAAACTTCATAAATTTATTATATATCCAATATCAGATGGAATATTTTGATATTTAATTTTTTAAGGTAAAACTTGTTACTATTCAATTCAGTAAGGTTCTGGTGCATTATTTTATAAATTACCTCTCCATTGAAAATCTTATATTGATTATAAACATTTGTAGAAATTTTGGATTATTAATTATATTTTAATAACACAGGTTTCATAGCCTATAGTAACTATAGGTGTGACTTTTTTTTATCTGACATGAAGAAAAATGATTTGCTTTTATTTTATTTGGATATGGTATTCCAGGTACATAGAAAGTTTTAGCAATGATGGAAACAAAGGTTATAGATATGTATATGGACATCTTATAATATCCATATTTTACAAGTTAAAAATAATGATAACAGAGATGGTTAGCCAGTTAAATGGAGATTATACATATTCATTTTTTAAACTATTTTATTATTATTTGTTCACTATTAAAACAGAAAAATTGAAATTGTTTTTTGTTTAGCACTTAATTATAATTGATAAATACCATTGTATAAATGTACACAATGAAAATGTTAAAGGTTAATCTCTTACTATGTGAGCAATACAGTTTGGGATAATCTAGATGAGAATTATATATATATATATATATATATATATATATATATATATATATATATATATGTGTGTGTGTGTGTGTGTGTGTGTGTGTAATAGGCTAATTCCACAAACATATTTACTCAAAACAGCACAAAGCATTTATTTTATAAAGAATTTTAATGAAATCAATTTTAGTGTGAAGTTGTTAATATTCCAATTCCTTAAAAAAATATACCAGAAAAATGGGAAAAAGTAGTAACAAATAACAGTTTTCATAAAGGGTTAGAAAAATAACAATTAAATGGATTCTACCTATAATATACAATTCATAAAATATTTGTCTACTATAGTCTTTTAATCTTATCTCTAAATGTTGAACACAAGACAACCAATAACATTAAGATAAATTTGCATTTTAGAGTATCCGATGCACTGGTCTGCATAGCAGCTGGACTTTCACCTATGAAATGAGAAAAATAAAATATGAGATTAACTTCCCATATAATTATTGGCAGGACATTGTTATAATGACCTAAGTGAGTGGATCATAAGTATATTAAACATTTAACAGTAAATAATAATAATAATGAAGATTCATAATAATTATGAAGAGATGGAGCGTTATGAATTTTAGAAATGGAAATGATAAGGACAATATAGAAGAATAGTAATAAGGAAAAGAGGAAACAAATGAGATAATGAGACATAGTGCCAGAAGAATTCAAGAAATTGGAAGTAGGTATAACCCATGCAAAAGACAAAACAACATGGGAGTTATGGATTAAAAAGAGAGAGGGGGATAATAGTTCAGAATAGTATGGAGGAATGTTGTGAGTATATATTTGTTTCACCAAAAATAATATTATTACCTGTGCATTAGATTAGAATTAGCTTTGTATTTTATATTATGAAATATGTGGTTAATCCATTATTTCGATATTTGGTATAAAAATAAATATGTTATAATATATTTTCTAAAAGGGAGTGGGGTAGCACAGTTGTAGGGTACTGTGCTTCCAATGCTAAAGGTCTCAGGTTCGAACCTTGGCTCATGGCAGAAAATTTATTTATGTTTCATTAGCCATGGGGTATGTTTCATTATGAATGAATAATCAAGTATATCTACTTGATTTATTAAGTATTCAAAATTGACATTTAGTGCTTTATAAACTTATATGACAACCATTATTCAGAATTTAACTAAAATAAATTAAAATAATTGAGATTTCTATGGTATACCTGACAGGACATGTACTCGAACAGTAGCCATATCAGCATTTGAAGGACTGCAAGAATAACGTCCTTCATCTGAAGGAAGGGCATTAGTGATGAGAAGGCGGCTGGTAGTTACATCTCCTTTATCTGTTATTATACTTACACCTCCTCTTTCTGAATCATAGCTAACAACCTGTAATTGAAATTTTTACATTTGTGGTTTTATGAATGCTTATTATTGCAATAATTATAAAATTACAGTAATCACCTGCCACAATGAAAGCAAACATAAAAAAAAAAAAAACTTTATGCGGAACAAAAGTACATGGCAGTGACTGTATCTGGTTCAGCTATTTTTTATTGAATATGCAGGATCTTGTTTTGCAGCTTCTCTATAGCTAGTTAATTGATTTGAAATGATTGTTGTAAAAGAAAATAAATGAATGTTTAGATGTTGTTATAGTTTAATTAGGAACTTAATGTATTGCCATTGAATGATATCGTGTTGGAAGATATTTATAAATTGGAATGAAATGCTTTGGGAAATTGATACTTTATAATGCTACTTTATATAGTATAAGTTTTGCTGTTTAAGTTCTCCTTATGTCACTTTAGGAAGCTTTACTCCTTTTAGTAAAATTAGATTTAATATTGGTTTTATAGATAGTGTTTATTATAGAACCATAATGTTTATAAAGGATTAAAGGGTCTTTAGTCATAGAAAAACATATTTTTAATCTGGTCTTTTAATATCAAAGTACTTGGAATGAAGTGGAATGTTCCTGGAATAGTAATAGAAGATCAGTTGTCATTGATTGAAGAATTAATTGAATAAAAATAAGAAATGTAATGTAATTCATGGTAAATAAGGAAAAGACTCTTGATTTTATTAAGGCAATGTTGTAACATATATAAAAATAACAGATTTACTGTGTTTGTAGGAACTCATTATAGTTGGGCTGCAACATTTTATGATAATAAAGTATTTCTATCCCATATAAATTCTAATTTCAAGAAAATGCTTATTAAAAAATGGAAATTATTAATGATATAGAAAAGGATCAAATCTTACTCTGACTGGACCCTTGGTTGATGGAGAATTAGTAGAAGTGTTATCATCTTCTTTACTGTAATACCAAAAGATGTATGCAGGAGGAGGTTCGGTGCTGTGTGTAATTGTACAAGTCAGATTAATGGTACTTCCATAGTTAACATAAATATCAGGACCTCCAATAATAGTTGCAGTAGGAACTGTAAGAAGGAAAAAAATATCTATTCTTGATACTTTTGAATTGAACTAGATTAATAAATAAAAACACATGCACAAAAAAAAAAACAGTAATTATTTAGTGAACTGTTAGAGTTTCAAATAAAGTAAAGAACACTTAATTATTTTAGATAAAATAATTCTGCTTTAACATAATAGTCCTGTCAATGAATAATTACAGAAGGAAATAGTGGGAACCCATTTTTTTGACTTTGGGACATAAATAAATGTATTACTTAAAAATCTTGCTTTTTGCTCACAACTTTGGGCCAAAAATAAAACGGAATATTAAAAAAAACGAAATAATAATAAACAGATAATGTATGGAAAAAAAAGATATATATATAATAATTATAACAGAGTTAAACTTTATTACATAAAATACCACTTAATGTTAAAACCTAAGCATTATTCTTAGTGTATATGGTAGTAATGGATGATTAGTTATTTATTATGCACAACTTAGAACTAAGATTAAAAACACAACTAAGTTAAAATTTGTTATTTTGAAGCAACTTTGTACAAATTTTTTCCAAACCTTGACTATCCATGTTCATTTGTTCATTTAAAAATGCTTCATTGAAGTACTTTGAGTCTTCTGTAGTGGTTGTAGTCTGTAATACATCTAAAATCTAAATGAGAAGCTCTACAACTTTGTCTATTTTTCAACTAACTAAAAAAATCTAAATACATTAATTATAAGGATTCTTAATAATATAACTACCTATATTTTGAATGTTTAAACATCTATTAATAAATGAAAAATAATCAATTGTATAACACTCATATATGTCTTGTGAGATGATAAGAAAAAAAAAAAATGATACCTGATTCAGTTCATTAGGAGATTTAAGTTTAGATCTAGAAATATTTGATACGAACCAAAGTAAGTAATTTTTAAAGCTAAAAATAAACATTTTTAGTATATTTTACAACATTCTCATAGAACAGTTAGCAATAACACTATTATATAAAATCCATTAATTCTAACTATGCTCGTACTTTATGTACATATTCGACCTGAAACCGAGGTTAACAATTCCTAAAGAATGGAGTAAGTAATACAGCACTGTTGTAATCTATAGCACTCATTTGCAGTGGTGTAATGTCTTCGATCTCTAATGCCTTCGAATAAACCAAATTTTTATAAAAATTATTATTTTTTCAATTTAAAAGTTTTTTATCTTCTTGAGTGTAAACCGATTTAACCATGTAGATATTGTAGATGTAATATATATATATATATATATATATATATATATATATATAATATATATATATATATATATATATATATATATATATATATATATATATATATATATATATATATATAAATTAGCATTAATTTCAGTTAACAACGAAACATGGGACCAATCCGTTGTGTTGACGCTATTTTGTCCTCTGAATAATGCGACCTTATTGTTCATATTTCACAACTTTGTTATCCATAACAGTCTTTATTTTTTATTGTTGACATCAAGAGCCATTGTATAAGCTTTGTAAAGCTTAGTGTATCTGTGAAACCTGTTATAATATTGGAAATATTCGCTTTTTCTTCGGTACTTGTATTTACCATTACAATATTTCTAAATTTTTTTTTCCTATTTAATGTTAATTTTATTTCATAAAATGGCAAAATACGTTATTTTTTATCGTCATCGTTCCGAAAAATAAAGTTCTGCCCAATATGCTAAAGTCTAAATGGAATATAAGGATGCCATGGTACCGTTTTGTATCCAGTTGTTCGTCCATTCACAAGAGATCTCCTCCTCCAAATCTAAAAACATCTCTAAACCATTTAGAAGCCACATCCGTGTTTTACTCTTGGTTTTCGACATTGATTCGAAAATTCCACTCCAAATCTTCTCAAACATACTACCTCTTTCCAAAACCAAACATAATAGCGTTTCTAACAAGTGTAAATTTAATAAAAGAACTATAATAATAATAATAATTTTTATTTATCATTTTTTTCCATTAACTATTTTTATTATAATTTTTTAAATGTTTTTTATTGTATACTAAATAATTTAATAATAATATTATATTATTGATCGGGCGCTAATGACTTGGTTGAAAAAACACACAAATACAATCAACCAATTTAATTGTCCTTACAGACCGTTGGAGATTCACAGGAGGGGGGAAAGGTTTAATTCCCCTCCCTAAATAACGATTAACCCAAAATTAAAAAAAAAAATGTGGCGTTTTAAAATATATTCATTGGAACCAATACTTGTCTATAACTATGAACAAATTTATTAGATAGAAGAAAATTAAAAAATTGACTCACTTTGTGAGTAATCAATTGTTTTAGGTAATCAATTTTATCTTCAGAAAATTTCATGGTGATATCGCGATTTATTAACATTTGGAAATACTAAATAACATTTTGATTCATACTACCGTATCTTAGAACTCTGAGATGATGGATTACTTTTCCTGTAGTTTTCATGCTTTCCTTAATCTTCACGCTCCCAATATAAATTTGGACCCAATGCGCGAGGTTTTGCTTGATATGTATGGATAAAACAGCGTTATCTGGAATATACTAAGGTGTGAAGGATTGGTCTATATATATATATTTGAGGATAAGGTATACATCGATGCATCGGAAGTGTCAAAACCGGGGTCAGGATAAACTCTTAAATAAATGTATCAAAACTTAAAAACGAGATTTTTCAATTTTAGAAACTGGGTACTTAGCACAGCGGCTCCTACAGCGAGGTTTATGATAGGAACTAGAATTTTTGCCCGAGGGGACAACCTTTACATTGCCGCTCTTTCTTTCATCTTCTCTTCCCCCTCTCCCCCTACGCCAGTAAAAGTCAACAGTTTTAAAACTGGTTTGTAGGTGATATATTTCGAAATCATCATCACACAACATTAATTAATTATATTGATTGAATCAAAGTCAAAACAATATATATATATAAAAAAAACTGAAATAAATATTATTCATCTGGACAAGTGTCTCCTTTATGCTCCCCAAGTTGTTGTTTTTATTTCTCTTGTGTGTTCAATAACAAGAACAGGAAGTATTAGCCTAGCTGGTCAAATCTGATAGGGGAGAGGGAGGGGAGGCACGTAGGAGTCTGGGGAGAGGGGGGGGGGCTGGTATATCTTTCCAATATTAGTCAAATTTAAAAACAACAATTGATTTTAATCAAAGTCAGTTAGATACGATTAAGTATTGAGGATGTTTGTTCTCGGGAGACTAACTCAACGAAGAATCGGTGCCCAAATTAAATAAAAGTATTAATATGCTGGTAACTTCTTGTTTACGTGAACCAGAACAAAAACTAAACATTGTTAATGAGTATCTGTTCCCGAGTCTTACATAACCACTCCAAACTGCACCACTGATCCCCATCCACTCACACAATGATTCACAGGAGTGTAACAGCCATTATTGGACTCCATCCGAAAACCTCCACTGCGATGGTGGCTATCCAATGTACCAGATGAACTTTTCTAATTAATTTTCGGTTACTCGTCAGAAATTGCTAAATACGCCGTGAGATTGAGGGTTGACAAGGGCATCGAAACATGAGAGGTCTACGACAGTCGCTGAGTGAAAATTCGTTTGAGGAATCTGCCAATGGAAGGTGGCAGGGCATTGGAGTTGGCTATTTTAATGGATTAAGAGCCTCGTTAATGAGAACCATGGAGATTTATATCCTCACCGAGGAGGGGTTTCCATAAGCCTTTGCATAATATCACACTACTGCAATAATAACAGTATACAAAATTCACAGCTGCGCACACAACTAGCTCTTTTTACTTTGCATTCTTCAATTTACTTAATTAAGCGTGGCTTCCGGAATCTGGACGTCTTCCTGGCATTGGTACTCTTCTCCTTCTGCAGGCCCTTCGGTTGAAGTGAGCTGGACCCACCGCCGTCTTCCACCCATTTATGAACTCTTTGAACCACGGTAAGTTTTCCTCACTCACCAACCGAGGAAACCCCTCCTCGGTGAGGATATAAATTTCTATGGATCTCATTAACGTGGCTCTTAATCCGTCGAATGCAGTGCAGGCCGTGACCACATGTTCAACAGTCTCCGGAACACCGCAAGTGGAACATTGGGGTTCTATATCCTGCCCGAGACCCAATAGTCCGGGAGGATTCATTTCGAGATTGGACGATGGGGAAGTATTTTCTTAAGGTACTCCTTTTCCAAGTCGTCTCCCACCGTCTGTTCCACTCTTCAATTGTTTCCTCCCCGATTATCTTTTTCCATTTATTAGGGATTTCAATGATGTTCATCCGTAGGCTCTCCGAAAGACCTGTTGAGCCATCTTTCTTGTAATGATGCCTGGTCACTTCTTCTTGCAGGAGTAGGTCGAGAGGCACTACCCCCCCCCCCCTAACGACCTGCACTGCCTCATGCGACGTAGACCCATAAGCTGTAGTGACCCGAAGCAGAGCTGTCCTCTGAGCCGATGCAAGCCTATTTCTCTGTCTTAGTGAGAGTTCCGAAACCAGAAGGGCGGCGAATACCTCAGGATACCTTCTACAACACTTTTTTAAATAGTGACTGTGGTAGGATATTTGAGACCCCAAATTGCGCCCCACGCGACTTAGACCATTCATTGCTAGGGCCACTCTACCTGCCAGATATTCCACGTGACTCGTCACATTCAGGCAAACGCCTAACTTAACTCACTTGGACGTATCCCCTGACTTTAAATTTACATTGTAATAGGGTGTCCCCTATCAGTCTTTCCCTTAAGGAGGATGGATTGGGTCTTGGCAGCAGCCATCCTCATCTTCTTTCCTTCACACCATCTTACGACTAGACCGGCGCAGCGCTCTGCTTCTCTCTTGACTCCAGCTCTGCTACTGGAGGCTACCACAGCAGCTAGGTCGTTAACGTAGGCAGTGTAGGGAATTGTTCTTCCTTTAACACTGCCAGCAAATCATCAAAGACTAGCTTTCATAGAGCAGGACCAAGAACGGATCCCTGAGGATAATATC